AGTAAAAGAGTTGGGTTGATCAGATACCCACTCCAGTCGACCGCAGGTTGTTGAAGGGATGTGAAGTTGATATTCTGAAGTGATCACTACCTGAGAGGTAGAGTCTTCAAATAAGGTTTGTTGAGGGCATGAGAAAAGTACCTTCAAGTTGCCTTCTTCAGCGACCGCCTTGCCTTTCGACTCGGGGTCCTGGTACCTTGATGGAGTCGATTTACCTTGTCTTTGCTCCCCCTGGGATTGAGCTTCCCCGAGGACAACACCATTGGTGACGGTTGATGGCTTCTGGAACTTGATGGTAAAGTCATCTTCATCATCGTTGTCGTCATCACCATCTAGGTCATCTCTGGTGTCTGGAATGACAAGTTCATCATCGTCTTCATCATCATCATCTTCATCATCTTCAACATCATCATCATCACCAGCAGCAGTGACGTTATAGACATCATGCCTAGGGATGGCTTCTACAACCTCAGCTTGGGCAACTTCGGTGGTAGGGATTACCGGAGCAGTAACCGCTTCAGCTTCAATAGCCTCAGCTTCAACTGCAACAGAAGCTGATACTGGGCCAACAGCCTGAGAAGCTGTAGGAGCAGCATCAGATGATCCACCAGCGTTGGACCTCATCTCCCCCTCTCTAGCTAAAAGAATAGAAATTTGGCCAGACGGTTCGTCCAAGCGCTGTCGGTGGAGAACCATTATATCCTCCAGCCTTTGCAAAGCACTGGCTAGAGTTGTCGTTGTCTCTCGTGTCTCATGGAGCTGAGCACAATCATCAGCAGAAAAAGAGGGTGCACTCACTGGAGCTTGTTTACGGACAGCATCCAGGATTTGCTGAAGAAGTCCAAGTTGCTGATCAGGAATCGCCTGAGCATCGTCAGCCCTGCTGTGAAGAACAACAATGGCATCGTTGTTGTCCTGTACAGCTTCTTGGAGAGTCTGGAGCTGACTCTGAACTTCTTGAACGTCCACCTGGAGGGCTAGGAAGTTCGCATCAAGATCGCTTTGGCAAGGCATCTCTTGGTGAACTTCGTTGACCTTGGAGAGGATGGTAACGACTGGAAGGAGAAGCTTGACGTCAGATGCCATATCATAGTCATCATCAATGTCTTCATCTCCTCCATCATCTTTCTCTATTTCTCTAGCATCTCCTCCACCTTCATGAGCAGCAGGCTGCTGCATCAAAGAAGGACCTGCAAAAGAAGAAGTATGAGC